AGAGCTTAAGCACCTGGACAGATTGACAGTGAAAGGCAAGGGTGGCTCAGGAGGGCAGAGAGGGGAATGGATTGTACTATTAACTTTGCACTTATTTACTGCAATGGATATTGTTGGTTGGTTTTGAAGAGCAAGTAGAGCCCTCAGCAAGAATGGAACTTGCAAATCTGTTAGTGATCAAGTATATAAAAGGGGTACCTCTGTGCAGGAACTGCTGTCAGAAGGAGGAAGCAGCATGGAGAAGCCAACAACTGTAAATTGATATAGTGTCTTGGTGGATGCTTAGCAGCTGGTAAAGTAGCAAAGGAAAAAGAATATCATCGGGAGGCCTTTCTGTTCAGAGATGGATTCATCTACATGCCGTCTTGCCTCGTGGTCCTGTCCGTGTCCATTGTGTCTTCTTTAAAATGGTGAACTGAAACTCATCCAGTCCTCAAAAATAGAGACCCAGGTGCATCACATGGAATAAAAAGGATTTGGCTGGGATTTTAATATTCTGAATCTGGACAGGGGAGGAGGCCTAAATTTACTGTGAAACTGCTCTTTAACAACTGAAAAATACCAGTGGATTTTGGAAATTACAGATTGTTTTTTCCTGATAATATTTTTATGCGATTACATTGAAAATGTGTATTACAGAATTTTGATATCTACTAAGGCCATCAGTGCTTGTATTCAATTCTGAAGCTGCCCTTTATCTCAGATATGGATGCTTCAAAAACTCCCTTGCTTCAAAATAAGTTCTCAGTGGCCCGTCTGGCTGAAGAGTTTTTCTGGGTTGGTGGCAGCATCGTAGCTTCTCCAAGATGGAAAATCGGCCATATTGGTAAGATGCAGGCTGAATACCTGCCACTTGAATGAGCAAGATGGTGTCATCTTGAAAGCTTTCATGTTTAAATCTTACTTAGTGTCAACTTTGTCTAGCGGTAGTGTGGGGAAGTGGAAAAGAAGCGAGAACTTGAGACACAGTCTTAGTCCTGTGTTATCTTGCGTGCTTACTAGCGCAGTTCTTTTGGTCTTCAAGAACCTCTCAGTTATAATTTCATTACTGATTTATTTACATTCTTATGGAAAAGCAAATGCAAAGTTGTATATTTTGACACGTGTAGACCTCTTGAGATTTTCTACTGTGTAGATAGAATCTATCTCCCTCTCCATACCCGCAGTCTGTCTGCCAGAATTTATACACCTTGTAACTCTGTGATTTTTCATGCAATATTTGTAGGTTTCAGTCTTTGAAATGAGTATTTAGAAGTATCTCTATCTTCTTCCATAGTAGGTCACTGGACTCTTGGGAGGTTGTTTTCTGAATCCTGATATACAGTGGCAAAATTCTTAAGCTTCACTAGCTATCTGAGAAAGATCCCTTTTTGCTTCACAGCAGCTTTTCTTTTAAATAGGTAATAAAATAGCACACCTAGTTGGAAATAGCTAGAGAAATGAGATTTTTCCTGTTCTGGTAAATGCATTTTAATAGCAGTCTTCCTGAGCCACTCATGTCCAGTCAGAAATCTGCAGTGGCCTTGACCAGAACCACCTGTTGCCTTGGAAGCACCTTTTTGTCCTACTCATCTGTCAGCTTCAGCAATCAGAGTTTTATTTTTTTTTAACAAGGAAGTTGTAGGTATAGATACCTTAGAAACTGATGGAGCCCTGAGCACAGGAAAGACATGGACCTGTTGGAGTGGGGCCAGAGGAGGCTACAAAAATGATCTGAGGGCTGGAACCCTTCTGCTGTGAGGAAAGGCTGAGAGAGCTGGGGCTGTTCAGCCTGGAGAGCAGAAGGCTCCAGGGAGACCTTACTTAGAGCAGCCTGTCAGTGCCTGGAGGGACCTGCGAGAGAGCTGTGGAGTGACTTTTTGCAGGGGCATGGAGTGATAGGACAAGGGGTGATGTCTCTCCTCTTTCAGTTTAAAGTCTTAGATTAGATATAAGAAAGAAGTTCTTTACTCTGAGGGTGGTGAGGCACTGGAACAGGTTGCCTAGAGAAGTTGTGGATTCCCCTTCCCTGGAATTTCAAGGCCAGGTTGGACAGGGCTCTGAGCACCCTGGGCTGGTGGAAGGGGTCCCTGCCCATGGCAGGAGGGTTGGAACAAGATGGTCTATAAGGTCCCATCCATCCCAAACCATTCTGTCGTTCTGTAATAGCAATTTTTGCAGAGGTCCAGAAATGCCATCATACTCTGCTTCTGCATTTCCCTGGATCCAGATGGTGGATGGAGTCTCAACCGAGAGAAGGAGAGCTGACAGACTGACCTCAAATTAGGCCTCCTAATTTCCACAGGATTAAGAGCATCTCTTCTCCCATTAACATCTCATTTGTTAGGGGTTGTGCCCTTTAAGGATGGATTCAGTCTCTTGTATGCAGTAAACATTGCCCCAACCATCGCTGGCAGAATTATACAGAAATTTTCTTTTTCAAAGGTACTTTATTTTTTTTAATCAATGAAAAGAATAGCAGAGAGGTCTGAAATTTAGCGAGGCTGAAGTCAGCGAGAGCAAATAAGGGGGAAAAGTTCTTGCACTGGTAATAAGATGGTTGGTTTGAAAGGTGAGAAAAACCTGCTCACAAGGCTGTAGGAATGCAAAATGAAATGAAGATTAAGGAAGTTGGATGTGGTCTGTTTTTTTAATTGGATCCTGGCATAATGATGTCAATCACCCTACTGTACCTGATCTATGAACACTGTAGACAGAAAATACCTTAGGTTAACTCTTGGTCATGCCACTGACTGCATGACAATGTCTCCTTTACTGTTTTTTTGTGTGTTTGGGGCCTGTCTTTTTGTTGAGATTTTTTTTGATTGGCTGCGGTTTCTTAGTTCATTTGGGGGTTGTGTGTGTGTGTGTGTGTGCAAAGTAAAATCCACTCAGTAAGAACAGTCCAGTTTTTATGTAAGAGAAAACTGAACCAGTATTTCCCTCAATAAGTTTGTTGTAAGGAAAAGACTGTACTTTAACTATGTAATAATAAATAAGAAATAATAAATAATTAAACACTGAAATTAAATAAAGATGTTTTCCCTCCATTATGAACCGCAGGATGCTACATTCTCTATCTAACAGAAGCTGGTTTTATTAGCAATTTGTTTGACTTGCAAGGCAATGTGTCAAGTAGGTATTACTACTGAAGTATTCCGTTAGCATAGGTGCCTGTATAAGGAGCAAAAGCAGGTTGCTGTAGCCAGCAGTTAATGTTAGAGCTTCCGTGATAAGACCATTAGTTGAGTGAATGTCTTCAGGATCAGAAGTGGCATTCTGGGAGCCTTTATTAGGAGAGTGGTGTGATGAACTGTCACGGAGACTCCTCAGGCTCACAGAAATCAATTGTACAGTTCACTTGCAGAATGTTCAAAGTATCTTTGAATTCCAAGATGTTTCAGCTGAACAGAATTCCACACTATACTGGATATATTTATCATATTTTATATGCTTTACATTATTATATTTGTAGATCGATTTTGTAGAAAGATTTGGTGCCTCCTGTCTAAACTGAAACTGATATTCCTGGCGGGAATAGTCGGGGCCAGTCAGTTCTTTAATTTACCTATTGAGGAGACAGTTATAGCTGCAAAACTATTTCCAGTGAGACTTTCAAAAAATGTAGCAATTATTGTCTCTTCAATGAATTTGCAGTGCTGAATGTATGACAAGTGTGGGAGTCCTCTGTTGGCATGTGGGAAAGCTGTTTTGGTTTGGTAATATTTGCAGGGAACAGCTTGCTCTGATAGTGCACGTGTACTGGAGGGGTTTCTCTAGGCTGACAAGCACGTTGCATCTGCTGGAGGCCCTGAAGAGAAATAAGCCTCTGAAATCTATTTTCCTCTCCTTATAGTGTTTAGAAGAGCAGTTGTTTCGAAGCATACAATCAGGATGCGTCTTGTCAGAATCAGTGAACAGGGCGGAACTCAGCAGGGTTGTGAGGTGCCGGCCTGCTGACTTTTCTAAGGAGGGTGGCTAGGGCCGCAGCCGTACCGCGTTACCTGGAGCCCTACTGAACTCTGGACGTGAATCTTTTGACAAACTTGTCCACATATAAAATTACTCAGTGACTCAATCCTTTTAACTTCTTTTCACCCTCACATGCTAAAACACTCCCACTCCTTCACACATTTGCATCAAACCCAGGAACTCCTCAAAGACAATAATGCTACTGAACCATAATTAACAGATGTTAGAACATCTTTCTAACAATGAGCATGAAATCAGGCTCTTTTTTTCCTTGAATCAGGACATTGTAGGGATTATAGAGATTTATGATTTGTGTAGTGCTGTTATTGTTACTTTAAAACTTTTTATACTAACTATAAATGTTACCATGAACTATGAAAAATCACTTTGGCTCTTTTTACTGTGTCAGTCTGGTGTCACTTTGTAAGAACACAAGAACGGAACTCAGTGTTCTGTGTTCCTGTTTCCTGCTCTGCTGTGACACTGCCTTTTGCCGCAGTACAGAGATCCATCTTCTCTCCATCACTGTATTTTGTCCAGATGCAACTTGACGCAATTTATTAGATCAAAACAGAGCCGATCCTCAGCTGAATTCTGCAGAAAGTTACGACTGAAGTGCAAAATATTATTTAACCAAGAAGAAAACTTCAGCCTCAATTGAAGATAGCTAGAAGCCATTTCTTCCAAAAAATGATTCATTGCAAGACTGAGGGATTTTTATTTGAAATGAATTATAAAAATGAATCCTTAAAGAAGGTCTCTGAACAATGGTAAGGAGAAGCAGTTATACTTGTATTATCATCAGTGTGCTGTTCTCATTTACATGGTGGGGAAGACTTCAGAAAAAAAAAAGTGCCACTGTGATTATTTTTTTTCCTGTGTGTTTTTCTGCCAATCTCTCTAGTGCTCTATACTGTTAGTCGTAGACAGGCAAGGGTGTATGTTTCCGTGCCCATACATATGCAGAGACATGGAGGCGCACTGTTTCCCCTCTCCATCTCAGTCTCTTGGGCTTTGTCTAGCTACCCCCAGTAACGCTTCTGCATTACCTTAAACGTTTCCTTCCCGTTGTGTTGGTAGGATTCAGGAAAGCTGCTGTTCTCCTGACACAAGAATGAAGATATTTCTGGTGCTTTCCTCTCCTTGTGCTACCAAAGCCAAAAAGCCAGTAACACATACTTAAAACAAGTATTTGGTCTGGTCTGACCATTCAGTTGCCAGCTACGCTGAATACAACTGAACTCTGGTTTGTGTCCGCGAACATTAATTGCAGTTGTGCGCTGAATCACCAAAGAACAGTGCGGTGTCCAGATCAGCTGGAACTGGCAGCAGGACAGCTTCTGAGGTGCTCTACGCTCTGGGTAGGTTTGGGTGAGCAATCCTGCACCAGAAATCAGCAGCTGCATTGAAAAAGCTGTCTAAGGATGCTAATTAAAATTTTAACAGCCCAGGAGTGTATTCTTTCTTTATGTAAAATCAAAGTAAGTGTATGTTGTATAAAGTGTGCTTTTATTTTGGTGCTTCTTTATTATTTTCTGCTTCGTAACAAGTGTGGTCTTTGATACTTCTCTCACTTCTTCTCTTATAATTTCTTCAAATAAAATTATTTACTGCAATAATTTCCAGAGAGAAAGCTGGACATGTAATGTGGTTTGAAGTTTGTGTGATTAGTGCTAATAGAACTTTTTTTATTAGCTATTTTGACCAAAAAATATAAACCTTGTGAAATTAAAAGAAGTTTAAGCTTTCCATAATCATCGTCTCACAGCAAATTTGAGAAGTATTTATCTTTCTTCTGAACTGAAATGAAAGCAGATATTGAAAAGATTGCAGTGTCTGGGAAATGGTCAAGCCGAGTTTGAATCTACTTTGGATGTTGTAGTGAATTCCAGTAACGCTTCTGAGCTGTAGCACAGCATCTGCTTTTATGGCTAATAATACCTGCTGACCACGTTGGTTTCATCTAAGGGCATCTGTGATTGAAACCAAGGGATCAGCTTTAGAAATAAAATGTTACACGAGGGATTATCTTGTTCTTAATTTAACACCTTATCTCTGTAAATATTTTATTAACATAAACAATGTACTCTACAAAATTGTGGCTTTAAATTTCAATTTTCTTTTGTTGCTAGTGATCTGCTTTCAAATTAATCTATTTTGATGAACCTTTTCCTGAGCAAACTACTGAATTTGTCTGAATTTGAGCTCTGAAGCACAGAAGCATCAATGATTTTTTCCGCTTCTTTTTATTCTACCTTGCTTCTCTTGGGTGTTTCTACTTTTGCCTGGGAGGCAGATTTGAATCACCCCAAAGAATTGTGTGGGTTTTGATGCCTTTTGGAATACATGGAATCAGTGCTTCAGTTTGGACACTGATTCATCTGTGATCTGTATGTACAGATTGATAAAAGAGGAGCCTGGCTTCAGAATTTCCTTGTCTTTCTTTATCAATCCGTTCTCACTAGAATACATATTATATGTATTAGTTTTCATTCTTCCATCCAGAATCTGAGTAGTAATTTACACTTCTCATCTCTAGGTCTGAAAAAAATATCTGAATATATTGGACATGGTAGTAATTTTAATTTTATTTAAATGGACCAGGCAGAAAAGCCAGAGGAATACGAAGTCACAGGCTATGCTCTGTCATGATGGGCAATAAAGGGGAGACCTGGCCTAGACAGGAGTCTGCATTCCTTCCTGGGACATAGCCCATCCGTTTGCCTAACTGTTTGTGTTAATGTTGTCAACCTAAGATCCTTGCCACAGCTGCCTTCAGAAGAATGCTGCCTGTCTGGGCAGGCGTAGGCACGGCCCCAGCCTTGCTCCCAGGGGCATCGCACGCACGAGCCTCAGCTCCCAAGGAACGGGAGGAGCCCTGCCGAGACAGAGCAGAGCTCTGCGAGGGAGCTTCTTCCACGACGGGTTTCTCTGAAGGCCACTGGCTGCACCGTCTGTAACGCTGCCCGATCCCCAGGAGCAGAACAGGTTTGAAGGGCCCAGAGACAACGTACAATACAGGTGAAAGGCCTCCTCCTAGGGAGTGTGATCTGAAGTGATTTGGAAGAAGAAAAGTCTGTTACATTCTTGCTGTGACATCTAGATGTGAATTTGTAGGATCGGTGACTTAATCCTCAGAAGCAATGGGAGGAAAAGCTGATAATCCATCTTAACTTTCTAGAATTATTGTTTCCAGAGTTTACAGTTTTCTTTGGCCTGGATGGCAAGTAGAGTTGTGATGTAAACAGCAGGCAGATGCAATGCCTTTGTGATGGCTCCGTATGCAATGAAAACACGCATTCTTCCTTCTGGAGGGAAGTAAATGTTTGGGCTATAAAGCTTCTTCATGGTTTTCAGAATTCTTGGTGTTCGTCTGTCATGCTAAAAATGTTGTATTTTTACCAAAGGAGTTTCAAAATAATGCTACTGATAAATTCAGTTTCGCTTTGTCTCAGACTCTTTCTCTTGTGAAAGATCAAACAGTTCCTTTACAAATCTGGTTTCCTTTTGGCAGACATATTGTGATACCTTGGTGTGAACAAGCAAGTTAGAAGCATTCGCTGGATTTCCTTGTGCTTATTCTAGAGACTGATACTTGATAGTAGTTTGATTTAGTACATGATCAGAAGGTCAATATTATTAGTTCAGCTAAATCCCCACACAAATAAGTGCATTCCTATTAGTTCTGTTATATTCTGCTTATTAACCGTGTATTTCATCAGTCATGGGTACTGGCGAACAGTGGCTGCATGTTTATGAATTAGGAGTGAATGCTAAAATGTAATTCCATAGATCCACTCAGCATTTTAGGTCCTGAGCTTGTAACTGCTTTAATAGGCAGAGGTGTTTTTCTGTGTTTGCTTGTTAGGATTGTTTGCACGCTGGAGGCAGCTAATCTGGGTAAGTGTTCATAGAACTGAGCTTCTGAACCTAAGGTGCTTACGAGTAAATTACAGATCTTCCATAGTGTCAGGTTATGTACTACAAATCCAAGTTTGTTAGTATTCAGTTTTTTTTCTAACTCGGTCATAAAGAACTATATTTAAGTGATATTTCTGATCCACTTTAATGTAAATGTGGGGATTTACTCATAATATATGTTACAGGACAGAAAAAAAGATATTGATAGTTTTTTATACATACTTATTCTTCTGTTATCTGAGTGCCTCACACAAAACATTGATTAGTGTAAATAGTATCTGCTCAGTAGTGTTCTTTCGGCTTCTTCCTAAGAAGAAAATTTTGGAATCTTTTTAAGCACAGTAAAATGCTATTTATATTACAGAAGGCAAATCAAAATAATGCCACCTTCTGCTTATTAAGATTTTTGTTCGGCTCTACATTTACCTGACTGGTGTAGGATAAAATTACTGTTTTTGACCCTAACTGTAGATGTCTTTATAAGAACGTAGCCTTTGGAGCTAGCTTCGTCTTTACAGTCACACACTGCAGTCTAATCACCTTCTTGCTGTTAAATTTGAAGGCAGTGAAAATGGTTTAACTCTTAAGCTGTCTGTACTTAAAAGCCTTTGAATTATTTTTAGGGTTCCTAGAATGCTTTTGATGACCAAGTTGGGTAATTAGATATTTTTTTTAAATTAGATTTGGGATAGACAGAATGCGAACTACACTGCTTCATAAGAAGCTATGGTGCTTCTGAATGGTGATACTGCTAACAGGAACTCCAGAATTTTCAGACTTATGTGAAAAAAAACTTACTGAAGTTATGCCACAAGGTTACTTGATGTTTAAGAGGCAAAAATGTGAGGCTTAATGAAAATAACTCCTGATGTGGATGGAACCATGCTAGTTTTCACTGGCCAAGGATCTGAGCTTCCAGGTGAAATTTCATACTGTGTCCAGCACTGAGTTTTACATATTGTAGGAGCTCAAATTCAGCATTCGGGATGGTCTTAAGAAGTCTTGTACCTTGCACCAATTCCAACGTATATATGTTTCATACCTATTAATATGGGAATGAAAGCTTTCACATTTACAGAGAAGTCCACAGTTGCCAAGAATCTTTCTGACTTTGATCACATAACCTGACCTCTTATAGTAGACAGTACAGGAGATCTTACCCTTTGTCTTGAACTATTAATTTGGCAGCTGCTCGATATGTTTGCTTCCTGTAAAGGCGATTTTAAAGGGAGCAAAGTCTCACTTACTGATATCGCTTTATTTCTCTCTTCAGTGGAAAAATGTATGTGTTGCATGCAAGCTGGTACCCAAATGATCAAGCTCCGTGGCAGTTCCAAAGGGTTGGTCCGCTTCTATTACTTGGATGAGCACAAGTCATGTATTCGCTGGAGACCCTCTCGAAAGAATGAGAAAGCCAAAAGTGAGTGTCAACCACAGAACCTTTTTTCTGATTCCTTGTAGGATCCTGCCCTCTTATAAACGAGCGTGAAGGATTTGGTTCATTCACAGGTGATCAAGAAGAAAGTTTTACTTGAATTTAAAGGGCAGTACATGATTTTATGGTCAATAGTTTCTGAAGATTAAGCTGCTGTTGTTAGCTATGCAGGTTGCCGTAGAGTAGTATGTTGTAAGTGAGTTGCAGGCAAAACCTGGGTGAATTGGGGACCGTACAATACGAGGTTTGGGTCCCTTCTCTACACGATAAATGCATCCTGTCTGGCCTAGGGCATGCACACAGTCATTAACAAACTACATGCTTTTGTCATTCTAGTTTCTATCGACTCTATTCAGGAGGTTTGCGAGGGGAAGCAATCAGAGATCTTTCAGCGCTATGCCGATGGCAGTTTTGATCCCAACTGCTGCTTCAGCATCTACTATGGAGACCATATGGAATCTCTTGACCTGGTATCTTCCAGTGGAGAGGAAGCACGCACCTGGATCACAGGGCTAAAATACCTGATGGCAGGGATCAGTGATGAAGACAGCCTTGCAAAACGCCAAAGGACCAGAGACCAATATCCTTCTTATACTATCTGAAAGTATTTCCCAGTGGTGGAGAGCTATCAATAATAGCATAGGAATTCCTTTCAGTATTTGTTTTACTAAAAGGCAGCACTAGGCTCAACGCTTCACAGCAGTTCCTATTGTATTCTCTGTTTCCAGAGACAGAAAGAGAGGAGTCCTTGAAGAAGGTTGTTCTGAGCAAGATTTGGAGATGAGAGACTGGAGTGGACTGAAAAATATACAGGTATATTCCTTCATCTGTTACTCCCTGTGTAGAGCTATCCATTTCATTTGATTATACAGGACAAAGTGTGATGCAACCTTGCAATTTGCTCAGAAGTTAGTTCTTCTGTGCTGTACTATAGCACGTGTTGCATGTTGAGCAAAGCAAGTCCAGAAACTGATACTGAAATAACAAGTACAGTTATATTATATATTACCTTGAACTTTCTTTCATCCCCAGTCTCCTATACAGTCTTCCCTAACATGAAAAAAATCATATATACATAATGTTGAGTAATATCACTTGATACTCCATGCCGTTCCTTAACTCCTGTTCAATGTGGTTGAAGCAGACATTTGATGAGGCAGATAAAAATGGTGATGGCAGTCTGAGTATTAGTGAAGTGCTCCAGCTAATGCACAAACTGAATGTGAACCTACCCCGACAAAAAGTCAAGCAAATGTTTAAGGTAAGAAATGAAAATGTGTTTTTTTCTAAAAGAACAAGGATTGAGCTGCTGGAGAATTAACATGAAACCTAATAGGAGACATTGTAAATACTTTGGCAGCTGGTTTGTTTCCACTCTGCTGAGAGATACTACACAGTCCATTTGGTAAATTCAAGAGAGCTCCAAAAACACGTCATAGATAAATTGTTATTCATAGAAAAAGGCATTACACCTTCTGGTGTTATATAACATGATGACACACAGTACAAAGACTGCTTTTTTGCTATACTTGTTGATCTGAAACTCAGTCGAGTTTCCTCCTCTGATTACGTTCTTTCTAATAAATATCCAGTAAAGTATCCAATATCCTCCAGTAACTGGTACTAATAAAATATCCAGTGTGCAAACTTCTGTATCTGTTATGTTTTCTGCATTGCTAAGAGCTATTTGTTTGACATTGCATTCTACTGACCTTGACCCAATTTATTGAGCAACTGAACTATGCAGATGTTGTATGTATGTATGTATGCTCTCGTAATCAAGAAGTCTGTTACGTGAAGGACCTAAGCAGAAGTTGAATTGGTAGCTTTCAGCATGGTGAACTCCCACTACACTGAGTCAGGGACATCTCAGCAAGATTTTCGAGCAGCTCTGGTATTTTAAAGTATGTTCTGTTGGAGAGGCTGTGAGAGGTTGTTTCAGAGAAAACTAAGTACTGGAATCTCAGCAGCACTGAAAGGGATCAAATACCCATCTACCAACGGCTCTCTAGACATTTGAAATCTGTCCAAGGCATTGTATGTAGCTGAATAGGTAAGTTTTGCCTAACTTAAGGTGGAGAAATGTTATAAGCCCAATTTCACAGAACTGAAGCGGGAATAAGTGAATTGCCTAAGGTCACACAAAGGTCTGTGGCAAGGAAAAGGTAATCCTGTTCTCTGTTGGTGCTTGGAGACTGAGCCATCTTTTATTCTAAGCATTTACTGGGCATTTTGCAATCAATTGAAGACTGACCAAAGATTTCTTAAAGTTCATGTTTTCATTTTCCAAAGCTTTTCTTCTTGTTTTGAGATATTTTTCGTGGTTTGATAAAGTACTTATGGAATGAAACTGCCTGGACACATATCTTTTCCTTCTGCTGTGTGCCTAGAATACCACTTTGAAACAAGTAGTGCTTTTGGTATTGCCGAAGTGTTAAAATTCCTTTTTTTGTTTTTAATCCTACTTTTAATGCACTAGGTCAAGAACATTAGAAAGCTGTAGTTCTATGAAATAGAAACCTGAAATCATATCAGAGTCTTTGGAATCATTTTACTGATTCATGGTAGTAAACGATTGTTCTCATTTTGACATCGTCTCTGCTAAGATGTAGAAGTTAGGCTCTTAATAATTTAGGAAGGATCTGTGCCGTTCTACTGAATTTAGTATTCCCTAGAGAATTACCTACCTGTATGTGAAATTGATCCATATAGCGAGGGATAATAAGAAGTGTAAACTCTAAGCTTCAAGGTTTAGATGGTGTTAAGAACTTTGAAGGAAAAGCACTTTCATTGATGACAGCCACGAATTTTACTATTCTTTTGCAATGGAACAATTGTATAAAATAAAAAGAGACAATCAGCTGAGGCTTTATGATACAATTTATAAATCTTGTGCAAATAAATTTTAGTCTGGGGGCTCTAGTTCCTAAATAAACTGCCAGAATGTTGCATAGCTCAGTGAGTCTGGTGTGCAGAACTCATGGAAACGTAGTCTCCTGCACAGTATGGGTAGCTTTGTGCGGGATCAAGGAGAAGTTAAGAATGGTGGTGGTCAGCATGACTTCTGATAAGTATTTTAACATGAAATTGAACAACAATTAGATGTGTACAATTGGATGGGTGATTTTGTATTCAGTTTGGACATGGAGCTGTCATTCTTGTATTGTAACTTATTCCTGGGAAAAGAAAGGGAGGCAAAATTATCTTTTTCCTTGGTTAGAAACCAATGGAGCCACTGCATTTTGCCACAGACAATCTTTAATAGCCCACTTTATGGCCTTTTAACTGTAGCAGAAGAGTGTTAGAGAATAATTTGGGAAAGGAGTTTAACTTGGAAATCTGCTGACTACTTTGGGGGAAAAAATTGGCCTTGAAACCTTCCTTCTCTTCCATGGCTGTATGTATTTATTCTAATGCCTCTGGGTTGAAAATATTTTTAACTTATATCTCTTTCTGCTCTCTCTTTAATCCCACTGACAGCTGATGCTGAAGCCTGCCTGGTTGCATCTTATGTGCAATCTAAATTCCTTTGTGGGTCTGCAATCGTAAAATATGCTCAGATGGAGCATGGAAAACAGGATAACTCTGCAAACCACTGCAACTCAAGGT